TATTACATCTGGCTGCTCACTTATTCCCTGGACAGCTTCTGTCTATGAAACAAATGGAACTTGGGGATTGATGCAGTTTTGCATCATCTTTTTTCTCTCTGCCGGATCCTCTTTCCTTGTGTCATTAGGTTAGTTCCTGATGTCAGCTGATGGGCTCCTTGATGACAATCTCCAGGGCCTATGCAGGCTGGGAACAGCTGAGAGAAGTGTGTTTAGCGGGTGCTGGCTTGCTTTGGCTCACTGATGTTCACAGAGAAATGTGCATGCAGAATGGACATAAAGTGAGTTCATTAATATAGAACATTTATTTACTTTCTTCTATATCCTAAACTTCACTGAAGCTCTGTGTGCTGTCCTACACAACCACAGAGTCATAGAAATGGTGTTTTGAAGGTACCTCTGTACATAGTAAGTTACTCCTCTGGTATTTGTTGTATTTTGCCAAATGATGCAGTGTCTGACTGCCAGCCATCATAGATCAGTCAGCTTTTTTGCTAGGGACTTAACTACTTTGACTACTCCCATTACACTTTGGTAATATGAAAAAATATTCAGGCTTAGAGTAAACATAGCATGACAAATTGGAAGGCTGTCAAGGGTCCAGTAAATAACTAGGAATTACAAAACATGGTGGAAAATGAAAAGATATGTGAATTCTTCACGTGAGAATTCATTACAGAGGAGAGTTTGTGTTGCATCCTCCATAGAGGAGAAGACTGAAGAGGCATCTCAGAATGAAGTGTCAGCTGAAGTGGCTTAGAATAAATCAGGTTTTCTAATAGGATCAAATAGCTAGAGCCAGATGTTATTCACACAAGGGTCCTAAAAAAACCCCAGGTATGAAATTGCTGAACTACTAACTGTGCTGTACTATGCACGTTAAAACTGAGTTCAGAACTAAAATAACACATGGCAGTTGGGAACATCATAAAAAAAAAAAAAAAAAGGGAAAGAAGAGCCTGAGGAAAGGGACATTACAGACAGGTAATTCTCAGTCTCCAATAAGCCAGGGAGGTGGAAGAGCAGAATAGGTAGACAGGTGGCAAGTATGACAGGTGGAGGACAACTGACCCAGCATTTCAGAAGTCATTGGAAGAGCTGATGAGCATGTTGGAAAAAGTGATCCAGATGAGATACAGTGTTCTGAAAAAACTGTTGGATGCAACACTTCACCACAGGCTTTTAAAGAAACAGAAGTATAATGATATAAAGGGAAAAAAAAATCCTTCATGAATTAATAACCGAATGTAAGGCAGGAATCAAATTGTTGGAATAAATAGTAAGTGGAAGGAAGTTTTCGAGTGATATCCCAGAAAGTTGCTGTCCCATTTTGTCATACAGTTCATGTAAGAGGGGCATGCAGTGAAATAACAATGTTTATAAAAATACAGCTATTCAAAATAGTCAAAGCTAGACCAGATGCAACAAAGAGCTCATGGTATTGGGTAACTTGGGGGATCAAATGATGGATGGCATGCAGAGTTGATATATATGAAATGTGTGTGTATGGAGGAAAAAAATCCCAGTCACCTAGGTACAACAGTGAGTAGTAAAATAGTTGTTACTGATCAGCAAAATATCTTAAAGAGTTATTGTGGGTGAACCCCTGAAAACATCCGTGCAATGCTCAAGACTGTTCAAAATGTCAATGAGCATGCTAGGGCAGGAACAACTGAGGAGTTATACAATAAAATCTGTAAGATCATGACAGGCATGAAGAAAAGAATAAAAATAGTCCTGATTATTACTTACTGAATAGTCATATTCATGTCATCTTGCTAAAAAATTGTACTGAGTAGCCATATTCACTGTTCAGATGTTTTGTTGTTGTGGGTGGTGTTTTTTTTTTTTTTTTTTTTTTTCCTCCTAGATCTAAGAAATAGTTATGCCCAAATAAAACATCTGGCAGAACTTTTAAAATCAACATGCCAAGAATATTTCAGCACAACTCAACCATGGGACTCTGTTCTAGAGGGTTGTTTAGGTAACAACCTCTATCAATTTATAGATTGAGGAATTTATCCGGTCACTCCATAAAGAAAAATTCACCTAAGCCTTTTAAAGATGATGAGTACATCTACAGTCATAGAGAAAATGTGTCCAGTAATGCTGAGACACCGAGACCCACTGGGAGAAAACAGCTGGCGTTTGAACCAATAAGTTCCTTTAGCATCCGAAGCTGTATAGGAGCATGCAGGTCCACAGGGAGCCAGACAGTAACACCAGGCTCTTCCCTGCCTCTGGGTTTAGTGGGACAGGCAAGCTCATTCCAATGCCTGGGCATGTGCCCAGGCTGTTTAATTTAATAGGAAAGATTCTGGGAAGCCTCAACCTGCCAAAAGCCAGAAAGGGAAAGTTTCTCTCTGCTCACCCTGTCTTTCTGGTGCCAGAGATGGGCTCTTGCACTGTCTGGCTCCTGGACCTGAGCCCCTACAGTGAGTTCTCAGCACAGGAGGGACGGGTGCAGTTAGGATCAAAACCAAAATCTGCCCATATGGTGTTTTTTGTTCTTTTTTGTCTTTTTTTAATAATGAATTATTGGGATATCGTGTTTTTAAAATAAAAAATAAAAGAGAGCATATTCTTTAATCAGTTAATTAATCTGAGAACCTGCAAGGTAATTGTGTTGGTATCAGTTGATTGCATGGCATTTTTTAAAGCTAAGCTATTAATATATGGCATAACATGTAAATCAACATGTATTTGAATACAGTATGTTGCAAATATACAAGAAACAAACATTTTTATTAAACGTTTACAATGAAGATACAGAAGTAATAATATGCTGCTTACTGCAGAGCACTACCAATGAACATCCATGACTTCTGGAAGAAAAGACATTTTGCTAATGCTCTGCTAATAAAATTTCCTTCCTTATATCCTTAGACCATCAAGGCTATAACAACATTACTACTGCTAAAAATATTTACAGTTAGGTTGCTCAATTAATTACTGGACTGTAGAAATCTAGGATGTCTTTAAAAATATTTGTCTGTCTGTTGGCAATTCATAGCATTTTGCCTGTCAGCTTCATTCTTCTTCTAAATACGGAAGAAACAATGGCTTCAATTCATTACGTAAGCTCTGTGAAAGCTGGTGTACTTAAGACTGGTCATGAAACTATGATTTTAGATTTAATTAAATATAGTTCTGATTTATGAGTTAAGACTTTTCACGTAGTTGTTCAATGTGTTTCAATTTTCTGAGCATGACAGACTATTCAGATCCTGTCAGATGGCAATGACATATGATGCTAATCTGTTTGCATTTCTGGTGTATTCTATGTTCTTCTTGTTATCTAAATAATACTGCTGTGTAGTGCAAAACAACATGTCAAATTCTTCCAAATGTTTATCTTACGCCATTTAAAAATTAGATGCAAAACCTCTTAGGATGATGATGATGACTGTAGTTTAAACTTTAATGATGACTATGAAGAGATCCTGCTAAACTAATAAAAAATTAAAAAGAATTTAAATCTCTATGACAGCACAGTGGAATTTTCAACAGAAAATGGGAAAAAAAATTAAGGCACTTCTGCTATTCTTAGTTTCATATGCTGCTGATTTAAAGGGCTACATATTTAGCTGCAACAAACTGATGAAACTCAGCTATTACTTTAATTTACAAGTTGCAAGGATTTGGCCTTCATTGTTTATTACACAGTCCATGGCAGAAACAAACAATTTCACATTAAAAGTGTATTGTTACATAGATTTTAACAATGAAATTAAGAAGCACATTTTGACTGCAGAAATTAAAAGAAAAACCCCACCCTGTATCATAGATTGGTAGTTCAGAATACACTTAAATTCATCAAAGTACATTTTCTCCTGGTTAGCTACAGATGATTTATTTACAAAGCAAGTAACAAACAGTGGCTAGAAAATACCATTGCACCACAAATTATCTACATGGATATTTCTATTTTTCATACTAGAAAACAACTAGTGTGGCATTTACTTCATTACAATGTTTTGTTAATAAACCTTAATGTGTTCTAACAGCTAGTACAAAATGGAGATGCAGAATGTATTACGTTAGTTAGAAAAGCAAATATATGGGTTTAGTTAAGAAAAAAAAAGATTTCTGACAAAATGTAGTATTTTTTTCTTAAAAAAAAAAAAAAGTCTAATGAATTAACTGCTCCAAGCACTTCACATAGGGACTGTCAATGACTTACACATTTGAAATGTTGCTGACAGGACAGTTGAAATTTGAAAAACTAGTTGAAAGAGAAGTCATCATCAGCCTGTGCTAGGTCTGACAGGCTTATCACTAGATTTCTATTTACACTGGAGTTTATGTTAATAGAGTCTATGCTGTTTTGGGGGTCACTTGGCAGTCAATAACAAGATGGAATATTTTCTGTATGGTCTCTTAGAAGAAGTCATAGCTCTTTGTTTTGATTTTAAAGTCTATTCTTTAATGTGAGAAATAGAAGCAGGCGGCAAAGCTTGAGGTTTTTTTTTCCTTAAATGAGCACTGAAAGAAATATTTTCCCTTTGAAACTCTGGAACATGCAATCCTTGTAAGAGAAGACCTCTTGAACTGCAAATGTGTTGTTATAGATGTTGTTGTTCGACTTCAACACACAAATAGCCTGCACAGAAAACACCTCTACAAATAAACTTTAAGAGTAAATCGAGTACCCAACAGTATTATAACTTAATTTCCCATTATTTCCCATCATTAAAAGCTCACTTTCGTTTTTCAAACTACAGTTGTCTAGCCTTTGAATTTTTGTTTCCAACCTATTTAACATCACTGTAACTTGTCAAGAGCATGTCAGATTGCTACAGGTACAGTATCTTAATTTAGACTAATGTAAGTGTTCCTGGTAAACATGTCTCTTTTGAACACTGGAGCCTGGCAAGACCCCATATCTCTTGGCTCTGCTGGCTGTTAAGTTTCCTGCTTCTGTTATGCGCAATGTAGAAGTGCTGCAGAAGCAATTTTTATCAGGCTGGAAAAGCAGGCACTTTCCTCTGTGGTATTTTTTTTGTGGGAAAGTGTATCCTACACATTCCCGTAGCATACTGCCCAGACACACCGTGGCACTGGTGTGCAATTGCTTTGAGAGCTATGCGGCAGGAGACCCTGTCACGGCAGTGGAGTAGTTTCAGCTTCTCGAAGTTCCAACTGAAAGGAAAGAAATTGCAAATACAATGAACAATTACTTGATTCCTTCCCACCCACAAGTTTGTGTGTGTGTGTGCATATGTTTTTGTTTTGTTGTTTTGTTTTGTTTTGTTTTGTTTTGTTTTGTTTTGTTTTGTTTTGTTTTGTTTTGTTTTGTTTTGTTTTGTTTTGTTTTGTTTTGTTTTGTTTTGTTTTGTTTTGTTTTGTTTTGTTTTGTTTTGTTTTGTTTTGTTTTGTTTTGTTTTTTGTTTTGTTGTTTTGTTTTGTTTTGTTTTGTTTTGTTTTGTTTTGAAGAAGGAATTTACTTATCACTTGCAGCTGCTCTCCTGCTGTATAAAGCTAAACAGGTAACCCAGGGAGTCAGGCAAGACTTTGCCATAAAACAACAAAGTTAGAGGAAATGATCACAGAAAAGTTTCATGTCTGACCTTCGAAGACAAAGATGTTAATAGATCTGAAATTTGAATTAGAATATAATTCATAACAAGCCAGTCATTTTCTTTCTAGAGGGGAACCTTCTACAAATTTCATGAGTATGGAATGATTTCGCTCCCTCCTTGTGCTCTTTTTTGTAGGAATTTCAGGGGAGTTAGTATTTTAGATGATATATTCTGTGTTCAAATCTGTACATTGGCTAACTTCTGGAGTGCAGTTAAAGTCCAATTTAAATTCTGTGTGAGATGGGTTCACATCAACAAACAAACCCAACAACGTCTCAGCCCTGTGTGTCCACAGTGTCCACGTTAAGTCCCATTCACACAGAGGCACAATGGCGCTATGGATATTTTCATCAAGAAAACCTGCTTACTGCACAGTACCTCCTGAAAGCCTACGGCCCTTTTTACTGCCCAGCAAACGGTGCCCTGCAGCACCAGAACCTGCTGAAAACAGGGTAGGAGGCACTGCCAATAAAGGGTTTATGGCATGGAAAATAGTCACAGATGAAGCCTGACTGAGACAGGAGAAAGAGCGTGCTTTTATGAACGTAACAGCACCTGGGTAAGGGTTTTGGGGCAGGGAGAAGGAAAGTGCATCTTCTAACTGGATGGCTTCTCAAGCATGTTCAGCTGAGTGGGAGGCTGTTAGGACTTCAGATCTGGAGATAAATTTCTCCAAGGCCACAACATAACTCAAATGCTTTTTTGATTCAACATCCTATGTCTAAGGATTTTCTTTATTCTGTACTGGGAATATTTCTCCTCAGGTCATTTTGGCCAGAAACTGATGTCCTTAATGTATTTGTCCCTGTCTTTTGAAGCCTAGATGCAGAAATGAATTCTGAAGTCCCTATTCATTTACCTTTATGGATTAGGTACAATAGAAACTTTTCTTTTTTTTTAAATTTTTTTACCAATGAGGCTTTTCAAATTTATGCAGGAAAAAATATTGGAATTTTTTCCCCCTGTTTATTCTAATTCACAGTTTAAGAAACACCACAAACACAGGCATCCTTAGAAGCCATTCAGTTAGTTCTGGTTCTTACAGCATAGTTTATTCTTGTTTCCTTTCATGAAATTGTCTGACAAACACAATCTGTTTTCTGTTACCTAAAAGATTCACAAAGAGCACTTGTCAGTGCAAATCAGCTATAAAACAAACCCCAGTTTTAAGGATCTATTGAATTTAGACAATTATTACAGATATCATTATCTTGCCAGAAATGGGCTTTATAAGAAAACAATACTTTATCATTATTATTGAAATGCAGTATTATTTACAAAAGAGATATGCCCATTTTCTAAAATACACAGAAAGGCCATTCTCTATTAACATAGGTAGATGTAAATCTGCCAAGGTTTGGAGTTACAGAATCTGTCCAGATGTTGTCATGTTTCTGCATAGGACTCACCAGCGTTCCCAGCATTGTATGTGACATATAGCACTGGGAAAAAGAAAATATAAGTACTTTCTTCATTTATTTAATCAAAGTGAAACTAGCTTTCAATTTTCCTTGTTTGAACTTAAAAAAATTTTTTTTACTACAATATCCTTTTTATTTTTCCACGTGGCTGTCAATCCAAGCAAGAAGGGCAAACTTTCAGGGCTAAGCACAAATACCAGAGCTTCTCGCTACTGAACATATGTGAGGCCTCACTTTCAGCATATGAGGAGAATTTGCAGCTTCCATTATGGCATTTAAACACTTCAGTGGTTTAGGAGAAAGCATCAGAAGCTAAAAATATAAAAAAATAGTTACATTGGAAGACTAAATAGTCCTGAAAATGTGCCGATACATAATTTGCTTAGTTGCTTGGACACATTTAGGTGAGGCTGCTATAAAAAGTTAAGTTGGTCACAAAGAAACTAACTCACTGAAGCAAATTCGAATTCTCAGATTTCTATAATTATTAAAAATCCACCTTTTTTCTAAGTATTTAGGAGTTTTTTGTTATTGATAGACAAATATTAACAAAAAAGGTATTTGGAAAACACACTTCTTGGGGGCAAAAAATCATTTAATTTTAAATTTTAAAAAATATTGAAACTTCTTTTAATCTAGGAGATAGATTAATGCAGAAAATCTCTGAGCATCTGAAGTAAAAGCTACTTCAGAGCATTTTCCAAGGTCTTTATTATGAATTAGGTTAATGTCAATAACATAAAAAAATTTCAGCCATTTGCAAAAGCTAGTATTTGGACCTTTATTACTATTCCCCACCAATACTGGGTCATCCAGAGAAAAGTTTGAAGTAAGCAGTTCTGCTTTGCAGGCAATTTTTCCAGGATTCCATCACTCCTACTCTAACTCTTCACGCAAATGTACTTACAAGATTGCATACGCCTCCTTGAAAATTTAAGTGAGCCAAGACTTCACACTCACTTTGGAACAAATGTAACCTACGCGTTTTACCCCAGAGTTAATTGAGTGTAACACAGGATACATCCCCCACAGATGTGAAACCTCTCAGTCTTACAACACTTACAGTTTTTGCATGCCTGATCAGCCACTGTCTTTTTTCCCTCAGAATTATGTCGCTTCACTGAGCACACACTATTTTTACAAATGCTCACACTGTCAGTGTTATGGATCTGATGTTCTTTTGTGCATTTGAAACAACCTGTATATCTGGAGGAGTGTTGAACTTGTTCTGCTCTTCCACTTTTTGTAAATGCTGATAAAACAATAGTCAAACTCTTAGTCTGGATCTTTTTGGCATTGCCAAAGAACAATAGAGTAGGCAAAAGGCCAGTATGATAATTTATAGAATCATGCAATGGTTTGGGTTGGAAGGGACCTTAAAGACCATCTAGTTCCAACCCCCCTGCCATGAGCAGGGACACCTTCCACTAGACCAGGTTGCTCAAAGCCTGGCCTTGAACACTTCCAGGGATGGGACATCCACAGCTTCTCTGGGCAACCTGTTCCAGTGCCTCACCACCCTCTCCCTGAAGAATTTCTTCATGATGTCCTATTCAGAATAATATGAAATTTTGTGATGTTTCCTGATATTACTTTTGCACTGACAGAAAACTCCATTGTTTCTTCCACTTATTTTGAAGTGCTTTAAGTGTGTGAGGCCCTAAGCTGTTGAGCGATTGAGTGCTTGCAGTTCTCATTAACGTTAGCAGGAGTAAATAATTCTCACTTGGCAAAAAATCAACTTGTAAAACATCTGTTTCTTTGAAAATGACTTGAACTATACAGTCTTACAATTAGAATTCATATCACATGCTCTCCAAGGCCTCATCTATACAAGAAATAGCTTGTCAGTATACTTCAATCAATACAGATATATCAGCTAGACTTTCTTGTATAGAAAAGACCTGTGAAAAGCATGCCCTCTCAATAGAATTTACAAAGGCTCACTGTTTGAGGAAACAGTGGTTTGTTTGTTCATTTTTAATTTTTTTTTCTTTTCTGAGAGCAAAAGCTGCAATTACCATAGGGCTTTCTCTGTTTAAAAATTAATAATAATAAAAAATATTAGATGTTATACTTGTAAATACTATCCCAGAGAACCTTTTAAGTGTAGATTAGTCCTACAACCTTGTCTGTCATTCTGATAGTAACAGGCAGCAAAAATATTGTCTTTTACAGAAATGTTTTCTGGAGGAAAAAAGAAATTAAGTTTAATATTGAAGTTTGAATATGGCTTGGTATGAATGTGTTCTATAGACTTTGTGGAGAGTGAGAAAGACTGCACCCAATAGCTACTGGGCTGTACTCCAGGGAGCACAACAGTGAGAAGGCTGAGGTCAGGATCCAGTGAGCACATCTGGCAGAAATAAACTAGGAGCAGCAGCAGCTGCCGAAGCAAGGACAGCAGGGATAGTGGTAAGGGTAATGAAATTGGGCTCATTTATGGCCATATATTCTTTCAAATACCAGACCATTCAAAGAGACCTGTCCACACACCAATGAGCACATGAGCTCCCAAGTGTTGTTGTCTTCTCCATGGCTCTGTGGGAAACTGCTGGCTAGTTTCTGGAAAGAGCTACAGAAGTAGCCAAAGCTGGGTAGTCACATGATTTCTTACAGTTCTGCGCACACTTTTTTTTTGTTCCATGCATGTTGGCTCTTTGCTTCAGTTTCCTTCCTTTCTGCTTCACTCTGATCTCACTCATGATGTTCCCCTTTCATCTCTACACTCTTCCTCTCACCTTCCTTTCCCTTCAGCATCTTCCCCTTCACATGTATTTTATCTCTTAAGTAATTCCATCACTATTCCCTAAATAGAAACGACTCACCCAACCAACCAAGAACCCAGCTATGAGACTAGCTTCTTCCTTACTGCCACTATACAGGTCACTTCACTTGCTTGGTCTACTTCTGCCTCAGCTGGTTCTTTCACTCATTGGTGCAGGTTGAAAAAATTTTGTGGGAAGGATCATCTTCTACTCTGTGTTTGCTCAGTGCCCAGGAAAACAGGCTTCATTTCACTCAGCCTCCGGGCAGTAAGTACCACATCAGTCTTTGCTAAGGGCAGAAGTTTAGAAGGCTATGGCTTTCTTAAAAATAATATAAAGAAGCATAATGCAATGTAGAAGATGTGTACATATACACTCCACTGTAAAAGGCTGGAATTGTACACAATTGGACACAATATGGACACAATCTTGCTGTCAGACACATGCACAAAATTGGCTTCACTGAGGGTTACAAATGCATCATTAACAGATGAATCTGCCTAATAAATTTTTGCTACACCTAGTAAATACTACACGTATATACATACATACATACATGTGCGCGCCTATGCCAAGTTTGGCAGCTCAGCTCCACCACCAAAGTGTGCGTAAGACTGAGCAGGTGCTGACTGATTTCACAGCCCACAGTTTGGCATGGGTGAATCAGATGCTGGTGAACTACACCACCAACTGCAGATTCTTAATAAAGCTTCCCCTTCGCCTTCAGCCTGCTCTGTCCTCTTTTCCCATGCAATGACTATTTTGTCTGTTTGGAGGTGGTAACATTCTGACCTGGGCTTCCTGGCAGCAGCAGAGCGGCAGGTATGGGATTGCTTTCACAAGAAGCCAGTGAATTCTGCACCACAGAGACAGCTAGCTTGGTGCTGATGTGGCAGCAGCAAGAAATTGGTGTAGGAGCAACCTAAGTAAGTATATTCCTACAAAGAACGAATGGGTCTTGTGCCTTTTGTTCTTTTTTTTTAATGAATTACAGAGGCAATATGAACTTTTTCTAGCACTGATGAGTGTGAGTTACTTTCACAAATGTTAATATTTACCTTCCCGGTTTGCTTGATGTTAACTAAGGGATGTGGATTGGAAATTTTCAGGACTAATCACAAGAACACAGATGTTGAACATGTAACAAAAGAGTTTCTTTGCAAAAGCTAAGCAAAACCAGGCTGAACGAAAAAAAAAAAAAAATCTTGATATCTGCTGTGCCATAAAATCTCTACTCAAAAGTTTTTTCTGAATGGAAAAGGTATATTCTCAGTATACCTTAAATAGCAAAATGGCACAATACTCCATATTTGGACTAGAAGATCGTTGTAGGTCCCTTCCAACTGAAATATTATTCTATTCTATTCTATTCTATTCTATTCTATTCTATTCTATTCTATTCTATTCTATTCTATTCTATTCTATTCTATTCTCGTGTATATATATATTTATATGTGTATATATATCTCTCAAACCCCACCCTAGCCAACACAGATAATTATCTGATACAAGAATTGCAGGTAGACAAGCCTTTGTCTACATCTTTCACGTCTTCCAAGACAATCAAGGCCAGGTTGGCTGTCTTTCTACATCAACCAAAGTGTACAGGCACGGTTTTTCTTTTTTATTCAAAGTTGCAATGGGAGAAGAAGCGGGGAATATATTCTGTCCCACTCCTGTCTCTCTCAGCAGACAAGGAGTATGAATAGGGAAATGTGATTATTCTCCAAGCAGTTCTAAAGCAGTCACCTGTTGTAAACATCCTGCAAATGAAACACTGCTTGGTGTGCTGTGTGTATGCATGCACACTGGACCCAAACATGCAAGGTACCTTTGAGAGCCCTCAGTTTCTGAACATCAACTAGAGGACAAAACAACTAGCAACATGCAGGATGGGGGTCTTTGTGTGTACATAAGCAGTTTGAAATATAACCCTGAAGGTGTTTAGACCTTCAAATAATAGCTAGAAATCAGTATAAACCGTAACTTCAGAATACATGTCATCTCCAAGCGGGAGGCCTGGATCCAGAGATGACATCTCCACTGCTAGTCATACCTGATGGTTAGTCCTGTCCACAGTGTTGGCAGTGGAAGCATGGTCACGAGTGTTTTGTCGGACTCGGGTGGAGTTTTGCTGTTCAATGGTGGAGGAAGTGGGGATGCAGAACTCTCTGAAACACCTTTTGAAATTCTCATCTAGAAATGCATAAAGGACTGGATTAAGGCAGCTATTTGTATACCCTAGAGCAATACAGAAGTGCCAGGAGACAGTCTGGAAAGTAGTCTCTGGGATGTTGACCAGGGCTTTAATGATGACATAAATGTGGATGGGGGTCCAGCAGACGATAAACACCGCCACCACCACAAGAACCATCCTCGTGATTCTCCGCAGGTTTCTGTCCTTCTCTTTGGAGCCAGATAACATGCGAACGCTCTTTAGGCGTAAAATCATCAGCCCATAGCACACGGTAATGATCAGGACTGGCATGATGAAGGCAAAGATGAACACACAGATTTTCAGGAGGTTCTCCCAGTACCATGCGGGGTGGGAGAATGTAAGTGTGCAGTCAATAGAGCCTAGAGAAAAAAAGAAAACATCAGAGAAGAACAAGCAAGTCAGTGTTTCATTTGCTTTTCTTTAAACCTTTTTCGTTAAATGTTGCGGGCAAATGCATGAAGATTTGCTAAGTAAACAGATAAAATGAAGTAATCTGTGACCTGTCATCAGCACAAAGATTGACAGGACACAGTGCTGCAAAACATGTTTGAAGCATCAGTTAGAAAAACAAAACCGAAGTGATGTGTTCTCTTCTATGTTTTTTTGCTTGGAATTGCATGTATATTAGACAATAAAAAGAGCTGAATTGTCATAAATGCTTAAACTTTGACTCATGTTAACTTTTAGTATAAAACCTGGCTAAAAGAAAGATGGTTTAGCCGCTGCTGTATCTGCTGAGACTGGGCATTTCAGGGCAATGGGGAAGAAGATGACATGACACTTGGTAATTGTGCACAGTGGGGAGTTTGGATTTATGCTGAGATGCATGGGACTTCATGGAAGGTCTTTGAGAACCAGTGATCAAGAATGTGCCCTCTGTTCTGTATCATGTCCTGCCATACTAGGTGCAAAATGAGCATCTACTTCAGTTGGAATATCCTGGGTAAAGCACAGGCTTCTGTGCCATAGGACAGTGCATATACACCTCATAGCAGAAGGCAGGCAGTCACAGATGTTTTTCCAAACACTACAGTAACTGTGTGGGGCAGATACACTTGCATGAATCCACAGGAGCTAGAACTGCCTGTTGTAAAAGACAGATCATGTGCAGTGCCGTGTCCAGTCAGCTACACCCAGATGCAAATTTATGAAGGGCTCCATTTACCCTGACATCTACTTTCCACAAATTGAAAATTGGAAGTTAATTCAACACCTCTACAATAAAGTGAAATAATGTGGAAAGGAGTTTAAACACTGAAATACTCAATTTAAGAATGAAAGCCAGACTTACCATGCCTGTATTTGGTAGTTGCCATGAACATAACTGGCAGGCCAATGGCAGAAGAAAGAATCCAGTTGCAGACATTGACAATTTTGGCATTTCTGGGGGTACGGAAATCAAGGGCCTTAACTGGGTGGCAAACAGCTACGTAGCGATCCACACTCATGGTGCAGAGTGTAAAGATACTGGTGAACATATTGTAGTAGTCTATGGATATAACGATCTTACAGAGGATTGTACCAAATGGCCATGTTCCCATCAAGTAATTCACACTCTGGAATGGCAGAGTACTTGTTGCTAGGGCATCTGCCAGTGCAAGATTGAAAATATAGATATTGGTGGCAGTCTTCATTTTCGTGTACCTAGAAAAAAATCAGCAAAGCATGTGAGTGACCACAACTGACAATGTTAAACAAAACTGAGTCCTGTGCGCCACCTATAAGAAAGTTCTGTGATATAATGTGCTAGATACTGCCAATGATCATATTTTCTGCTTTTAACCAAATGACCTTCCTATGGTTTATCTATAATAATGTTTGCAGTTCAGTGAGACATTAGCTATAGGATGTAAGAAAGAAAAGATTAATTTAACTTGTGCAGAGAGAAAGGATACATGCAGAAGAAACAATGCTATGGATGTTAAAGAAAGTGCAAAATTAAGTTGAAAAACGGTATTTGTACATATCAGACACTGTACTGTATGGATAGATTTTCTCTATTGGCTGATGTCACATCAAGTAACAGAACTGTGGTCTGTAGAAATGGGGAACCCATTTGTAGGTTGTAGAGTAGTAATGATGTAATTCCTTAGGTACCTAGGGAATAAATACCTAGTAAGTACCTAAAAGATTAGTGTAATTACCAAATCTACTGTGTCTAAAAATTCAGACATTTAAGACTTTCTCACCTGTTGATATAGAATTCAAAAATAATTTGTAATGATGGTTACTACATTTATGTGCTAATCTCAATGTCCTGTACAAGTTGGACAGATGGTCCTTTCAACTAAAGGAAAAGACATGCTATTAACCACATTCATTGAACATATCCATGGAACCACCACCCTGGGTGGATGCTGCAGCCTGCTGCTAGAGGCAGAAATGCATGCTCTGCTCCACCGTGCTTATTTCAGCAAGACAATCTTCTAACTCCTTTGCACACCCTTCTTGTAAGTCTGTGCCACTAACTACCCAAAAAATAATTCCTGAATTTTGAATGTGTCCCACTTCAAACACAACTGAGCAGGGGAAGATTTTCATGGTTTAATTTGTTTGCATTTCTAAAGGTGGAGTCCAAATTCTTCCTTGGTTTCATCAACTTTTGTGAATAGAGCCCTTTACAGTTTCAGGTCCTTGTATCAGTTGAGTAGCACTTGAGATCTGCTCTTTAGGAGGATGGTATACTTTTGCAGTGGTACAATGACTGTTTCACTCGAAGTAATGTTCACTGCTGTCCTGCTTGCTACTGAGGCACTGTGGCTGCCTGGCTTTTGAGGGGTCAGATGGCTTGCTCTTTTGATAAAACTCCCTTCTGTTTCTGCAAAGTAATAAGTATGGTATTTGATCGAACATTTTACAGTTTGTGGCATTACTTGCAAAAAGTAATTAAAATAACATCTTTCAGGCAATCTGCCAGGGAAAACAAAGTGTAAAATACAGCATTTCATGTTTTTTCCTCTCTGACTTTGATCTCTCCAGAACATGAGTCAGCTGCAAAAAAAAGCCACCACACCCCTCTCACCACCTCCCCCACCCCCCCCAAAAAAAAAAACAACCCAGTGGTGATGCAGGGAACACACATTTGGAATGTCTTTAGTATGTTCTGCAGAAATGCAGACTTCTTGCTGAATTCATCTAAATTGCTTTTATGATGAAATCTGAAGAAGATTTCACTAGGTTTTTTCTCTCATTTTATAGCACTGGGCATGAGGAGCCACTGACAACCCTCATTTCAAGTTAGAGTACATATTTTAAAAGGTTTTCAAGTAGACCCAAGCTCTTTCTTGACTGCTGTCTTCAGAAAGTATGAGCTGAGTACAATACTTTCAAGTTTTAAATAAAACCTATATTCGGAAAGTACCCTAAAAGAATTTTCTTACAGGAGCACTCCATTTATCCAACAGATTGTAACACTAATTTAGGAATAGGTAGATGCTGCAAGCATCCATGTCTCTGCTGAGAATTACATTAAAAAAATATACAGGATTGCAGTGTGACAAAGGTACATGATAAGCTGCAGCTCTAAAAACATTCTGGAGGGAAGAGGAAATATTTTCTGGTCAATTTGCTGGAGAATCTTGCGGAGCAGAATGAAAATAGCAACTTTTTTTATGTTGACTTTACTATTACCCAGGATGAAGATGTTGTACTAAGCTCTCTTTTTGCCATGTCCTCTGTTGTTCATCAGAAATGACTGTCTTTTCCATAGGTCTGACAAGAGATCCAGGCCTAGCTAATGTTTTGTCCGGAGAGCTAACCTGAAGGTTTGGTTGTGTTGTGGGCAGACATACTCAGCCTGCTCCAGTCCTACCTGCTCAGGCAGCAACAGCAGCAGAGGGGCAGTGGCTCTGAATTCTGCACAGATGAGGAAAGGTGACGAGACTCCTGCGCCCTCACCCAGGCTGCTGATCCCTACTCAGTTCTGGGGCGATTGGCCTATCTTTATGGCTGGACAAGGAAGCACATTTAGGCGTGCTGCTCAGTGCTGCTGCCATCTCGCCCGATTGTGATGCAGTTCTGTCTGGAGAGCACATCGTCGGATGATAACGGCTTTTCTATCAGTAATTAAAGCCATTCAGATGCTTTAAAGGGAATGCACAATACAGAACAAAAAATACATTAACCAGTAGGTGAGTGACTCTCAGGTGAACATGTTAGAGAATGGGCAGAGAAAAGGTCTGAAAAAATGGGATGAAGTTTCTTTGCTGTGACTGGCATGGGCCTTATCCCACTTAACTACTACCCATTTTTCAGTTTTGCTATCTTGCTTTGTCAGTTTAAGCTTAAAAGTTCTTGGACTTACTTCATTAAATGGGCTCTATAGGCCATTAATGAAGGATTTTGCTTGATGTAATCTTGATATCGCTAATCATGCTGTTCTTACAAAGAAAGGAAGCAGAGCTTTTGTGGTGATAGAAAGTATTTACCTCCACAACTGACTAATGAACAAAAGCGTATTGAAATTCACAATAATCTTTTCAGTGAAATCTATGGATTTGGGTGTTTTTCTGTACTGAATATTTCAAAATTTTATAATGGGCTTATTTCTAAAAGGTACATTTTGTTAAACATGTATTTTTCAAAATAAGTAGATTATCAGTGTTCCCAGGGTAGTGTGTTTGTGGTTTTTTTGTTGGGTTGGTTTTTTTTTTTTGGTATGAAGAAATAAATACTGAAGTAATTGATTAAAAGTAATTTGAACAGCAGGGAAAATAACAGTCCCTCAAAATGGAGCTCTTCAAAGCCTTCATCTTAGCTGCTATTATATCTTTTGCTAAGATATCAATCGACCTATTTGAACAAGCAGCACAAACATTTCCATCATCCAGCTGTAGATGTGTATGTGATGAGATTTCTATACTTCAGAGGAACTGGATTTTATAAGTAGTTAAAGTCACAAGACATCTGTATAACTTACAACACCAAAAGTATCGTGTTTATAAATGCAATCTTTTAGCTGATACTGTTTTCACACTTTCATTCAAGACTACTACAAAATCTAAAAAAAGTAATGTGTAAAGAAAAAGTCTTAAAGACAAACCCATGAAAATCTGACGGGTGGATTTTATATTATATTGACATCGTAGCATCTGAAATACGAAGTATATTAAATTTTGCATGACAACGAGCAAGGTTGCAAGTGAAGAAAGAAGTTGGCTTTGGGCAACATTACTTTTATTTTCATGGCTCTGCATTGAAAGACAGAGCAACATGATGATTCAATTTTTTGTTGAATATTTAGCTCAATATTGCTTTTGATACATATTAATTATGCTCATTATAATATTGAAACCCACTAGTGTGTCCTTTCTATCTCCCCAGTGCAGGTTTTGTAGCATAAAATACCAAAGTTTATGAAGCAGTGTTTTTTTAGGAGTAGGAGGTGATAAATCAGATTTACAGCAGTAAGAATATACTTTTGTCAGTCTAATTCTGTAGGGCAAACCCAGCCTTGCCTTTATCTTCAATCCAGCAAAGCTTTAAAATATACTTGAAGTTTGAAGATCTGGGCTGTACAGGTCCACTCAATTGGGATTTGCTTGGAATAAGAAAAAGCAATACAGAAAATCAAAAGAACCCTACTCAGATAGTCAGTAAACTCCTAGCACTCAAAAATAAACAGAAAGTCTTGAAATGACCTTTCCAACTGGCAGCCTGTGTGCCACTTGTAGTGTGCAAACTAAATTACAAGTTCACCAAACTAACCTAGAGATACCTCTGGCTCCCTTGCACAAAGCGTAACAGCATCTTGAGCAGGAGCCACCAGCACCTTCCCTTCCACCTCACAGACATGTGGCAAGAGAGATCTGAGCATGCTTTTGCCTCTCTCCTTTCTGAAAGATGTACAACAGCTCTGTTTCTGGCCTGCCTACTTCGATTCTTTAGTCTCCACCTTATCACCTACAAAATTTTTTGAAGAGTCTTAAAAGATTAAGTCTCAATGGCTCAAAAGTAAAGAACAAATAGTATGAAGGCCATATATTCTCTTAGAGAACAATGAAATTTTTAGTTTGCATCACACTTTGTCCAAGCCTAATAGACACGGTTGGTATGCTACCACCTGAGTCTGCCCACTTCTTGGGCAAGCTGTTTACATCCATATGGATTGTAGATATACACCCTCCCCCAGACCTGCCAGCCCTTCTGTACCAGATCAGTTTTATAGCACTGTTGCACCACTAGACCATTACAAAGAAGCTAGAGAGGAGGTCCACTTTTAGTGTAATGAATATATTAATACAAACCATTACAAATTACTTTGAAAAACTGCTCCTATCTAAATAGGAACAGTGAGGAGAAAAGCAAAAATAGTCTTTTGCACTTAGGAAAAGGGCTGGTGCATGATAGATTGGTAATAACCACTTTCAGCAACAAAAAGACATGCCAGCTTTTGTCCACTGAATGCTAATTTGGAGACAAAGCCTGCTTCAACTGATCTGTGTTGAAGTTCCATGCAAAATATATGAAAAATTGGCTTAATTACAGGAGATTCATTGCAGAAAGCAGTTGTTCATGAAAATGGTTTGGCTGCTGAAAGAAACAACAGCCAGCAATTAGGTCTTGCAAACAGAAAACCTGACATAACTCTTGTTGATTCTGGAGAAGATTAGGTTAGTGTTTCAAATTCACCTCCTTCTTG